CAAGGCTGCGGGCAGCACCACCTTCAGCTTCCATCATAATCAATATTATTGTCGTCTTCCTATAGATGATGAGCTTCGCCTCCAGCCGCTATGGCTGTGTGTGTGTGTGTGTGTGTGTGCCAGTTTGCGAGTATGTATGCTCACTATTGTCGGGAATAAATACGTCGGGAATAAATACGTCGGGAATGAATAAGTCGGGAATATATACGTCCCTTTCAGGTCGAGAATCCACTTACTCAAACGGTCTCGCCACCTCTTCGCTAAAGCAAACTGTCTTCTTGCGTTGAAACGGAACAAGAGCACATCACTAATCACAACGCGGACACGGGGAGGGTGGATTTTCGAAGGCGACCGCGTCATTTCTGTGACTTCTTCTGCGACCCGGAATATTTGCCCCGCCACGGGTCAGCTTCCATCGATCCCGGCACGCTATCGTACGCACACGCGCGCGAGGGCGCGCAACGCCTTCACCTTGTCAGGGGCGACGCGGTATCAACGTCGTTATCTTCATCATTTTTCATAACACTCGAAGTAACGTGTTGTTATTTGGCCTTGTCCCTTGTTCTTTAACCCACCACTACTGGCACTCGTCACTCAATGCTGTATGATAATATGTTTGGTATGCACCTGTAGCGCATGCAACTGCCTTACTTGTACTTACGCAGCAGACGTTCGGGTCGCTTGTACGTGTGCGTGTGTGTGTATGTGTGTGTGTGTGTGTGTGTGGTTTCTTGACTGCAAAGGCACGTACCTGTTGCGGCATGCATGAGTCGCCCTGGTGCCACTTCAGAGCGCCAAGCCAGTTGAGGACAGGGGCCATGTCCGCGGCGGAGACGGCCGTACATTGATGTGGTGGGCAAACTGCCCTGGCACACGAAGTGTTTCGGGCCTTACTTTGGAGACAATTAGCTCATCCCCAGATGAATGTTTCAACAAGGATTGATACACAAATGTCTAAGCTACTCGGAGCATAAGACCATGTGCTAATTTAGTTCACATATGACAGCTCTGGTAGTCAGTCACGTTTGCCCACTGGCCCTGGCTCAGGTTGAGCCCAGTTGCTGTGCTAAATTACATCAAACTGGGGCTATTACTGACAGGAGTTACAGGACTTGATCCGACCTGAACCTGGTGCTTCTGATGACAGGACGTTTACCTCGACTGAGGCTGGAGTCTAGAAGTGGACTGCACTGGGTGCATGCTGCTGACAAGATCGTGTCAAGACTCAGTACACAATAACAGTTGTTGAGTTGGACTCTTTGTCGTGTAGCATTGGGATCAAGTACGTCATGTGTCATGATGTGATACAACACGTATTGTGCTAGGACAGTAAAACCTGTAACTAAAGACCACCGTGACTAGCGAACCACCTGGTACTACAGACCACTTCGCCAGGCACGGTCTGTCTCACTTTCATGTATGGTTGTGCGGTGCAAACCTCTAACTAAGGACCACCTGCCACTAAAGACCTCTTTCTCTGGCCGGAAGGGGTGGTCATTAGTCACGGGTTTTACTGTACGAAGTCTGCAGTCTAGCGTTATGTACAGTGCAGCTCATGCTCAATGAAATCCAGTCGCGTCACTAAAATTTGCGCCTTGCATCATTCCCAGCCCCAGTGTTCGCAGTTCTGGACTGCGCACTTGAGTGCCGCGACTGGATTTCATTGAGCAACACTGTACATGTACATACTAACAAGTACTTGTTCAAAGCAGTGGGAAAACACACCACTGTTAATGTACAAGTGTAGATAGACCAAATAGATTTCGACCTTTTCAGCTGTCATTTGCCCTGATCGTGCCTCATGCGTGCTTCACGGCATAGTACGTTTCCGCTTATTTTCTTCGTCAACACACGCTAACTGTATTACTTTGTTCTTGCCCGTACAAGAGGCTATACTATAATTATAAATAAATTATTGAGAAAGTTTCCGGAAAAAAAAGAAAAAAGGATGTGCATTTATAATTGTACATGTACACCTAGATACTAGTACAAGGACAGAGAGGGGAGGAGAAGGAGAAGGAGGAAGGACTAGAGAGGAGGGAATGCCGATAAACATGTAGATATCTCGACCCCGCCTTTCAAGGTCGCAAAGAAGGGTATTAAGTCACTGATATTGCTTGAATTCTGCTTCGGAAAAATGGAACTATCGGTATAGATTACTAATGTTGCAGATTGATAACAGCAAACATGTACCTTGTATAGTCATGTACATGTATGCTGTAGCATAAGTCATGTTCTACGAAACAGAAAAATACAAGAAGCCCGGAATTACTATTACTCAGCAGGCAAGGGCGCGGTAGTAGTCGCAAGGGCATTGTGAATTCTCACGAAAATCCACTACATGTACATGTACATGTATTTTGCAATACTAGTTTGCAGAAAGTGCTAGATATGCTAGACACAAAGCTACCATTATCCGCCGAGGCCTGGCTTTAACCCATTCCCGAGCAGATTACATGTATGTGTGTGCCGGATACGGGTCGGGTAAATGTGTCAGTTTAGGTTTAAAACCACCGGGGAACTGCTGTACCTACATCGTACATGTACATGTACATGTAGAGTCATCTCCAGACGACGATGAACCGGATTTACATCTACATGTACATCTATTATGTAGATGTACATGTAGATGCGCTAACCTGGGGGTAAGCAGCAGCATTGAGCCGTTGAACGTTTCTGCGGTGGTGGTGAATGCCAATGTACATGTACATACATGTACGCTCGCTTGAGTAGACTGTACAAGGAATTCGAGTGGCCGAATACAGTGTGGCTTTAGTGTGATCTGAACAGGCTGAAGAGCAGTGTTGCTTCAGGATGACCTCAACAACTGTGCAACATTTGGCATAATAATGATAATCGTCTTGAATAGTTTGAAGTGACACGCAGGTGAGTGGCGTACTTGAGAGCATGTGCAACGTCGCCGAATAATGTTCGTCAATGACGTGCGGGCTGTCTATGCAATGGGGCTTTGGCGCGGGGCGAGAAGCCAATCCAGATGGAGTCGATATGGCAACGCACGGGCCTAATTGAGTGAATTCCAATTGAACGTTCACACTCTCCTCACTCGGTCAAGAAGAATATGACAATTGTCATCGCGGGCCAAGTAAAAAGTGGAGTCGCTAACCTGCGCCCAGCGTGACATGTGGACAAGGGCTATTGTCTTCTTCCTGATGGCCAACACTTGAAAACTGACTTCACGCTCTTCAAACGCACGAGATCACTTGACGGCGCCTTGTAGAGCAGGATATCCCCACACAGTACCAGCATGTCAGTACTATCGGTAATCTGCATGACTAGTCGACTGTTGATTGCACAATGTACAAACACTCGGCATTCCAATTCAGTCCTCAAACTTGAGAATGCACGATTCCGAAGTAGGATAACGTGAGCATAATATAGGCGATTCAGACTACGGCCAAAGTCACGTCTGAGCTTGAATGTCCATGGTGATGCAGTCCTGTTTCAAATGATACTGTGCAATCGCTGATCAAACACGTCTGAGTCCTAGAAACGTGGTCACAATTGGCCGTAGTCGGTGTGGCTTTTAACCCTAGAACAGCCACCTGTGTCATTAGTAGTAAGTGCGGGGCGGGTTCTGGTGCACTTTTTGACCTTTGACCTTTGGGCCAAATAAGGCACACTGTGTCGGGCTCGTTTGGTCTGGCTCGGGGACTCCCCCAGGGTTTGACCTTTGGGTTAAATAAGGCACACTGTGTCGGGCGCGCTTGGTCTGGCCCCGGGACTCCCCCAGGGTTCGACCTTTGGCCCTGCCATGCCATAAATGTCATCATGTTCTTTTCCGTGGCGACCGTGCACTTGTGCAAGTTCGTTGTATTCGCACCAGGGAGTAGTAAAATACGTACTATTCCCTGATTTGCACATCGTAGATGTGCAGTGAATGACATATTGCGCATGCGCGCATACGCACGCGGAGCGTGCGACCTTCAGTGGCCCTGCGTGTGGAAAAGACGTATACACAAGGTGTACTAGTACACGTGTCATTGTAGGGTGATAGCCGACCTCATATACGCTGTACGGGGAGATTATTTCCTCAGTATGTTGTAGGCAGTGCTGGAGGTGACGTGACGATGGCGGAGCCAAGTGCAAAACGATCTAGGCAGCCCAGACAGCCCACCTCGAGTGCCGTGCGTGGGTTTTTGAAAAAGTTTTCTTTGCCAGGTTCAGGCACTGATCCTCTCGTCTTTTTCAGCAGCCATCATGACGAGCTCAGACAGGTTCTCCTCGAGGAGCTTCAGTCTCACCCTTTCAAGGTGGTTTTAGTTTTGAGGGTGGAGATGACACGAGAGTCGGCCACGGGTAGTACGTCTGCCGTCCCGTTTTTTAGAAGTAGACCGGCTCGGATCCTCAGCGAAGGGGATATTGATAGTGCAGTCAAGACGATGGTGGCGAGGATCACTGGTCTTATTGATAAGTGGGTGCAGAACGGATCCGACTGGACCGTTTCTCGAGTGAGACAGCTGGATGTGTCGACAGCAAAGTACACTCCTCTTCGAGGTGAGTTTCTGTTCATCCGGCAGTGTTTGTTCGAAGCCTGTCGAATTTCTTGTGGAAAGTTGTAGATGTTTTGTACTAGATGCACAGTTTTTCGTGATTGTCGAGAGGGTGTAGTTGTGATGTGGTGTTACTCTGAGCAAAGCCTTCGTTGTATTTTTGTGGTGTACTGTAGGTGGTGCAGCTGATATCCCACCGAAATTAGAAAAAAAGAAGGCCATCATTAACGTAAAGAACAACGATGACAGGTGTTTGATGTGGGCGTTGTTGTCAGCGCTGCACCCCGTCGAACAGAATGCTGAGCGGGCATCCAAGTACACCCAGTATGTTGATGAGCTGCGGTTCGATGGTGTGATGTTCCCTGCAACGCTCCGTGATGTACCCAAAGTGGAGTTACAGAATGGTCTTGCAATCAATGTGTTTGGCTACGAGGGGAATCTGTACCCACTCTATCTCAGCGAGCGACATGAGACTCCGATCAACCTCCTTCTACATGACAACCACTTCACATGGATAAAAAACTTCAGTCGTGCATGTGAGAATAAGAACAAGCGGGCAACACACTACTGCTTGCGATGCCTCTCCGCACACAAAACAGCAGACTCCCTGCAGCATCACAGCGAGAGATGTCAGGTGATGAAGCCCGTGCCAGTCGTCATGCCCACAGCAAAGGACAGCATCCTCAAATATACAAATTTGAAGCACAGGATGGTGGCTCCATATATCATTTACGCTGATACGGAGGCCATCATTGAGCCGATGGAGGAACAGCATGGCAGCAGCACTGTACGCACAGCACGTCACGTGCCATGCAGCATCAGGTATGTTTTGTTGTTGGTGTTGTTTTTGACTAATGTTTGCTGTACTCGGGCCTGCACAGTGCTTGCTGTTATTCCTTCTTGTCTTGTTCACAAATTAGGTGTTCGTGTTGTAGTATGTGCATTTTGTGTGATTCCATTTTTTCAAAATCACTTATTCTTACTTTCCCTCTTCTTTTATGCTCTTGTAGATATGCTGCCATCCGATCCAACGGTGAAGTCCGGGGCGAGTTTGACGACTGCAGTGAGAATGCCATTCACAACTTTTTCGACAGTCTCAAAGAGTTGGAAGGCAGTATCCAGGAGGATTTGGCTGATATCAAGCCAATCCGCATGACAGCAGAACTGGAGCTTGAGTTTCAGAACGCAGTCAACTGCTGGATATGTGACGAAGTACTTGGAGAAGATCGTGTTCGTGATCATGATCATCTCACTGGTAAGTATTATAATTTTTTTGTTTATTTTTGTTGTTTTGCAGTTGTGTGTAGATATGCACATGATGTGTATAGTGCATTTTCATGTCTTTGTAGCTGTTTGCATCTGTGTTTTATCACGGTGTATTGAATTGTATTGTCTGTGGTATCACCTTCACTGTAGATGTTTACTATGTTTGTGTATTCCCCTCTTTCTGAATATCTGCACAGGCGACTATCGTGGTGCTGCACACTACCAGTGTAATATTCAGCTGAGTATCTACCCAGATCGCCAGATCATTCCGGTTGTGTTTCACAACCGGAAAGGGTATGATGCCCACCACCTCATCGCCCACATTGGTATGACCGAGGTTGAAGAGGTGGAGTACGAGGATTCTAACCAGCGTAAGCGGATTAGGAAGGTTGGTGAGATCAGTGTCATCGCCAACAACATGGAGAAATATATTTCATTCAAGTGGCGTCAGTACCGCTTCATTGACTCCATGGCCTTCTTGAACTCCTCTCTTGACTCGTTGGTGAGCAACACCCCGGAAGATGCCTTCAAGCTTACTCGTACATTAGCCCATCATGACCTTCTCCGGCGTAAGGGTGTCTACCCCTACGAGTACATGGACTCCTTTGCTCGGTTTGATGAGACACAGCTGCCACCTAAATCAGCATTTGAGTCTAGTTTGACTGGAGAAGGTATCAGTGATGCCGACTATGCCCATGCTCAGAACGTATGGCAGGTAAGCAGCTTGTGCCTTCTGTATTGACCCTCGGAATTTCCCTGATGCCATGCTTTTTGCATTATTGTGCTCTACTTATGACTTTGTATGCTGTTGTGATGTGCCCTACACATTTTTTTTGTACTCATTGCTCTCTATCCGTGGATATGTGGATGCTTGTGTGTATGGATGTGTGCATGCGTGTGTGCGTTGCTGTTTTTTGTTTTGTTTGTTTTTTGTTTTGCAGCCATTTGAGTGCAGTACAATGGAGGCCTATCATGACCTCTATTTGCAAACAGATGTCTATCTTCTAGCAGATGTCTTTGAGCATTTCCGCAAGACGGCATACAAGACGTATGGGTTGGATCCAGCTCATTACCTTACTCTCCCAGGTATGTTCATCAGTCTTTGTTGTTGTCCAATGTATTCTCTCCTTTAGATGGTGTTCTCTGTTAGTATTCTTGTGCTTTCTTGTCGGTGTATTTTTATACTTTTTGCACGGTGTATTGACTTTCGTGTTTGTGTTCTGGTGTGTTGCATGGTGTTATGTAGGATATGCATGGGATGCTCTACTACGGTTCACCCAGATTGAACTGCAGCTGCTCACGGATGTAGACATGCATCTGTTTGTCGAAGCCGGTCTACGTGGGGGCATCTCAATGGCGTCGCAGCGGTACGGCAAGGCCAACAACCCAACGATGGGTCAGTACAATCCTGCCGAGCCCACATCATACCTGCTATACCTTGATGCCAACAACCTGTATGGCTGGGCTATGTGCCAAAGTATGCCGACATCTGAGTTTGCCTGGTGTGACAAGAACCTGTCCGAGATACTGGCACACCCTGTAGATTCGAGCACTGGGTTCATTGTGGAGTGTGATCTTGAGGTACCCTCTTCGCTTCACCACTACTTCAATGATTATCCACTCGCACCGGAAGTGATGAGAACATTCTCAGATAAGCTATCACCATACCAACAAGCACTTGTGGAGGAGCTCAAAGTGTCAGCCGTAGATGGAGTCAAGTTGACACCCAGTCTCCTACCCAAGTCCAAGTATGTGTTACACTACCGTACACTGCAGCTGTATTCGCGTCTGGGCATGGTGGTGACCGCTGTTCACAAGGTGTTGGGATTTCAGCAGAGTGCCTGGATGGCTCCCTACATCAATCTGAACACTGCACTTCGCACGAGGGCTACAACCGACTTTGAGAAGAGCTTTTACAAGGTAAATGCAACCGTTGTGTGCAGTCCCGTATGTTGTTGTTGTTGTTTTGTCACAATGTCATATACATGTATGGTGCAAGTGTGACGTGGAGTATGCTAATTGAAAATATGCTGATGTGAAGGAATGGCATGATATGATTCTCATGTGTCATGTTTGCCTGTTTGTGTGCTGCAGCTGATGAACAACTCAGTCTTTGGCAAGACGATGGAGAACGTTCGTAATCGAACACGCATCGATCTCTTGCGAGAAGAAAGTGAGGAGCAGGTACTGAGGGCAGTGAGCAAGCCTACATATGTGCGGCATGACATTTTCCCGAACGGGCTTGTCGGAATAGAAAAGCAGTACACTGAGATCAAGCTCAACAAGCCGGTCTATGTGGGTATGTCGATACTAGACCTGTCAAAGGTACACATGTACTCCTTCTACTACGATGTGCTGAAGGAGCAGTATGGTAGCAGAATCCGGCTGTTGTACACCGACACCGACTCTGTTATTGTGCACATCACCACCGGTGATGTTTATGCAGAGATGGATCTGTCTCTGTATGACACCAGCAACTTTCCCACTGACCATCCTCAGTACACTTCTGCCAATAAGAAAGTGGTTGGCAAATTCAAAGATGAGCTTGGTGGGAAATCCATGGTGGAGTTTGTAGGTCTAAGATCGAAGATGTACTCCTACATCGGACAGGAATCGGCCAAACGGGCCAAGGGTGTGCGAAAGGCAGTCCTGGCAAATACCATCACCCACAAGGACTATGTAGATGCACTGCTCAGTCATCGTGTGTCTTCCAGGCCTATGACGGGTCTCCGATCACATTGCCACACAGTGTATGAGGAGGTAACCACCAAGGTGGCATTGTCTCCATTCGACTGCAAGCGGTACATACTGGATGATGGCATGGCCACACTTGCATATGGTCACAAGGACATTTAATGGACAGGACCCCACATTGAACATGTTTCATCATTTTCATACAAAAACTCCCCGCCGTTCTTCTGTCATTAATTCCTCCTATCTTGGCATGTCGGGCCGGCTCCAACAATATACATTTTTTGTTAAATATTTCAGGCTTGTGCCTCAATCATATTGCAGGATATAGTGCATCGTGCGGTATAATAATCTTCATTGTATCATCAAATATTACCCTACACACTTTGGGTTGCAGTGTGTGCACAGCATAGTCCATATATCATCAAATTGATCAAGTTCAGTATCTGCGGGCATATATTTCCCCAGCTTGAGAAAATGCTTATATACTTGCGTAAATTTATGCTCACAATGATTACATTAAAATGAGATTAACTCTGCCACACATTATATTACCAGACACTGTTGTTGTTGTTGTTGTCGTCGTCGTCGTTGTTGTTGTTGTTGTTGTTGGTTGTTGTTGGCTGTTGTTGGCTGTTGTCGGTTGTTGTTGGTTGTTGTTGGTTGTTGTTGTTGGTTGTTGTTGTTGGTTGTTGTTGTTGGTTGTTGTTGTTGGTTGTTGTTGTTGGTTGTTGTTGTTGGTTGTTGTTGTTGGTTGTTGTTGGTTGTTGTCGGTTGTTGTTGGTTGTTGTTGGTTGTTGTTGGTGGTTGTTGGTGGTTGTTGTTGGTTGTTGTTGTTGGTTGTTGTTGTTTGTTGTTGGTTGTTGTTGGCTGTTGTCGGTTGTTGTCGGTTGTTGTTGGTTGTTGTTGGTTGTTGTTGGCTGTTGTTGTTGGTTGTTGGTTGTTGTTGTTGGTTGTTGTCGGTTGTTGTTGGTTGTTCTTGTTGGTTGTTGTTGGTTGTTGTTGTTTGTTGTTGGTTGTTCTTGGTTGTTGTTGTTTGTTGTTGTTTGTTGTTGTTTGTTGTTGATTGTTGTTGGTTGTTGTTGGCTGTTGTCGGTTGTTGTCGGTTGTTGTTGGTTGTTGTTGGTTGTTGTTGGCTGTTGTTGTTGGTTGTTGGTTGTTGTTGTTGGTTGTTGTCGGTTGTAGTTGGTTGTTGTTGTTGGTTGTTGTTGTTTGTTGTTGGTTGTTGTTGGTTGTTGTTGTTTGTTGTTGGTTGTTGTTGGTTGTTGTTGGCTGTTGTTGGTTGTTGTTGTTGGTTGTTGTTGGTTGTTGTTGTTTGTTGTCCCATGGGACAATGAAACTACAAAGGAAAGTGGCTACTGACGAGGCACCTGTGACCACGCCAATGCCTGAAACTGATGAAGCTGAGGAACGGAGGATCCTTGAGTTGGCCCTTAGCCGACTTGAGCGTGATTAACGCAGTGTTTACACTCTCCTCAGCAAATCCCATCAAATCGGAGCACATGTTGACGGGAGCTTAGAGTTGGCACTGCTCAGTAATGGCAAAATAATTTAAATGGCCGCCAAGACCTTGCTCAATAGGCGGAAGAGTCACCTGTATGCAATACGTTGTATATGTCGTGTGTGTGTATTGTATATGCATTGGGCTCGAGTAACTCAACAGCATTCGCTCAGTAACACTCAACACTCCCACCATCAAATGGGAATACACGTGTTGAAGCAAGCTTAGAATGAGCGTTACTTGGTAATAACAGAATGAACCCGATGACCTACATGTACGTAAACAGGTGGCTAAATCACTGGTAAACAAATGCATTCGGCATGAGATAAGCATTAACTCACTCATCAACTGTAATATGTTCCATGCGGTCGCCAGGTGTGTGTCTCTGCTAGGTAAATGGACGGGATAAGGTATTATGTTCAGTTCATGTTCGAGTCCGTTGTAGTTTTGACAGAGATCGAGATGTCACGCTGGCTGCTGAATTGGATGACGGCAACGCAACCCAATAGTGGTCAGGAAGTTGGTCCACGAGCTGCTGTTGTCCAACGGAAAGATGATACTAGTGATAGTGACGAAGATGAACGCAGAAGAAAGTGTTAAATTTGTTCTCAGGAAGAGGAAGAGAGTGACGATATCATCCTTGCTCCTACCTGTCATGTTGAATCCAGGATTTCTGGGTTTTGTAGGATCGTTGCCACGCAAGCGTCGGTTCTGGTCGGCTCATGCTGATGGCGACGATGATGGTGTTTGGGAAAAAGAGATCTTGGGGACATGGAGTAGACTTGGACAAGACTTCCAAGGTGTCCAAGATGAGAGGTTCATCGAAAAGTTTCGAGTGACCAAATGCACATTTCTGGCTGTGCACGATTTGGTCAAAGATACCATTGATTGTCAGACGACGCACTTGCGCAAGTGATCTCTGGGAAAAACGTCTTGCAATATTCCTCCAATGGATGGCTCATGCCGAGGAATTCCAGCAGTTGGCAAAAGAGTATCGCATTAGTACTTCTACAGTCCATAGCATCGTGCAAGCGTGTGTATCTACATTCCGGCAACTTGCCCCTAAGTTCATTGTCTTTCCCCAAGACCAGCTCAATGTAGCTGACGTTGTCTCCGGCTTTAAATCTCTGTGCCACCTACCTGGCTGTGCTGGTGCCATTGACGGCACTTTCATGATTTTCATGACCAGCTCAATGTAGCTGACGTTGTCTCCGGCTTTAAATCTCTGTGCCACCTACCTGGCTGTGCTGGTGCCGTTGACGGCACTTTCATGAAAATCATGAAAGTGCCGTCAATGGCAACTTAGGGGCAAGTTGCCGGAATGTAGATACACACGCTTGCACGATGCTATGGACTGTAGAAGTACTAATGCGATACTCTTTTGCCAACTGCTGGAATTCCTCGGCATGAGCCATCCATTGGAGGAATATTGCAAGACGTTTTTCCCAGAGATCACTTGCGCAAGTGCGTCGTCTGACAATCAATGGTATCTTTGACCAAATCGTGCACAGCCAGAAATGTGCATTTGGTCACTCGAAACTTTTCGATGAACCTCTCATCTTGGACACCTTGGAAGTCTTGTCCAAGTCTACTCCATGTCCCCAAGATCTCTTTTTCCCAAACACCGTCATCGTCGCCATCAGCATGAGCCGACCAGAACCGACGCTTGCGTGGCAACGATCCTACAAAACCCAGAAATCCTGGATTCAACATGACAGGTAGGAGCAAGGATGATATCGTCACTCTCTTCCTCTTCCTGAGAACAAATTTAACACTTTCTTCTGCGTTCATCTTCGTCACTATCACTAGTATCATCTTTCCGTTGGACAACAGCAGCTCGTGGACCAACTTCCTGACCACTATTGGGTTGCGTTGCCGTCATCCAATTCAGCAGCCAGCGTGACATCTCGATCTCTGTCAAAACTACAACGGACTCGAACATGAACTGAACATAATACCTTATCCCGTCCATTTACCTAGCAGAGACACACACCTGGCGACCGCATGGAACATATTACAGTTGATGAGTGAGTTAATGCTTATCTCATGCCGAATGCATTTGTTTACCAGTGATTTAGCCACCTGTTTACGTACATGTAGGTCATCGGGTTCATTCTGTTATTACCAAGTAACGCTCATTCTAAGCTTGCTTCAACACGTGTATTCCCATTTGATGGTGGGAGTGTTGAGTGTTACTGAGCGAATGCTGTTGAGTTACTCGAGCCCAATGCATATACAATACACACACACGACATATACAACGTATTGCATACAGGTGACTCTTCCGCCTATTGAGCAAGGTCTTGGCGGCCATTTAAATTATTTTGCCATTACTGAGCAGTGCCAACTCTAAGCCCCCGTCAACATGTGCTCCGATTTGATGGGATTTGCTGAGGAGAGTGTAAACACTGCGTTAATCACGCTCAAGTCGGCTAAGGGCCAACTCAAGGATCCTCCGTTCCTCAGCTTCATCAGTTTCAGGCATTGGCGTGGTCACAGGTGCCTCGTCAGTAGCCACTTTCCTTTGTAGTTTCATTGTCCCATGGGACAACAAACAACAACAACCAACAACAACCAACAACAACAACCAACAACAGCCAACAACAACCAACAACAACCAACAACAAACAACAACAACCAACAACAACCAACAACAAACAACAACAACCAACAACAACAACCAACTACAACCGACAACAACCAACAACAACAACCAACAACCAACAACAACAGCCAACAACAACCAACAACAACCAACAACAACCGACAACAACCGACAACAGCCAACAACAACCAACAACAATCAACAACAAACAACAACAAACAACAACAAACAACAACAACCAAGAACAACCAACAACAAACAACAACAACCAACAACAACCAACAAGAACAACCAACAACAACCGACAACAACCAACAACAACAACCAACAACCAACAACAACAGCCAACAACAACCAACAACAACCAACAACAACCGACAACAACCGACAACAGCCAACAACAACCAACAACAAACAACAACAACCAACAACAACAACCAACAACAACCACCAACAACCACCAACAACAACCAACAACAACCAACAACAACCGACAACAACCAACAACAACCAACAACAACAACCAACAACAACAACCAACAACAACAACCAACAACAACAACCAACAACAACAACCAACAACAACAACCAACAACAACAACCAACAACAACCAACAACAACCGACAACAGCCAACAACAGCCAACAACAACCAACAACAACAACAACAACAACGACGACGACGACAACAACAACAACAACAACAGTGTCTGGTAATATAATGTGTGGCAGAGTTAATCTCATTTTAATGTAATCATTGTGAGCATAAATTTACGCAAGTATATAAGCATTTTCTCAAGCTGGGGAAATATATGCCCGCAGATACTGAACTTGATCAATTTGATGATATATGGACTATGCTGTGCACACACTGCAACCCAAAGTGTGTAGGGTAATATTTGATGATACAATGAAGATTATTATACCGCACGATGCACTATATCCTGCAATATGATTGAGGCACAAGCCTGAAATATTTAACAAAAAATGTATATTGTTGGAGCCGGCCCGACATGCCAAGATAGGAGGAATTAATGACAGAAGAACGGCGGGGAGTTTTTGTATGAAAATGATGAAACATGTTCAATGTGGGGTCCTGTCCATTAAATGTCCTTGTGACCATATGCAAGTGTGGCCATGCCATCATCCAGTATGTACCGCTTGCAGTCGAATGGAGACAATGCCACCTTGGTGGTTACCTCCTCATACACTGTGTGGCAATGTGATCGGAGACCCGTCATAGGCCTGGAAGACACACGATGACTGAGCAGTGCATCTACATAGTCCTTGTGGGTGATGGTATTTGCCAGGACTGCCTTTCGCACACCCTTGGCCCGTTTGGCCGATTCCTGTCCGATGTAGGAGTACATCTTCGATCTTAGACCTACAAACTCCACCATGGATTTCCCACCAAGCTCATCTTTGAATTTGCCAACCACTTTCTTATTGGCAGAAGTGTACTGAGGATGGTCAGTGGGAAAGTTGCTGGTGTCATACAGAGACAGATCCATCTCTGCATAAACATCACCGGTGGTGATGTGCACAATAACAGAGTCGGTGTCGGTGTACAACAGCCGGATTCTGCTACCATACTGCTCCTTCAGCACATCGTAGTAGAAGGAGTACATGTGTACCTTTGACAGGTCTAGTATCGACATACCCACATAGACCGGCTTGTTGAGCTTGATCTCAGTGTACTGCTTTTCTATTCCGACAAGCCCGTTCGGGAAAATGTCATGCCGCACATATGTAGGCTTGCTCACTGCCCTCAGTACCTGCTCCTCACTTTCTTCTCGCAAGAGATCGATGCGTGTTCGATTACGAACGTTCTCCATCGTCTTGCCAAAGACTGAGTTGTTCATCAGCTGCAGCACACAAACAGGCAAACATGACACATGAGAATCATATCATGCCATTCCTTCACATCAGCATATTTTCAATTAGCATACTCCACGTCACACTTGCACCATACATGTATATGACATTGTGACAAAACAACAACAACAACATACGGGACTGCACACAACGGTTGCATTTACCTTGTAAAAGCTCTTCTCAAAGTCGGTTGTAGCCCTCGTGCGAAGTGCAGTGTTCAGATTGATGTAGGGAGCCATCCAGGCACTCTGCTGAAATCCCAACACCTTGTGAACAGCGGTCACCACCATGCCCAGACGCGAATACAGCTGCAGTGTACGGTAGTGTAACACATACTTGGACTTGGGTAGGAGACTGGGTGTCAACTTGACTCCATCTACGGCTGACACTTTGAGCTCCTCCACAAGTGCTTGTTGGTATGGTGATAGCTTATCTGAGAATGTTCTCATCACTTCCGGTGCGAGTGGATAATCATTGAAGTAGTGGTGAAGCGAAGAGGGTACCTCAAGATCACACTCCACAATGAACCCAGTGCTCGAATCTACAGGGTGTGCCAGTATCTCGGACAGGTTCTTGTCACACCAGGCAAACTCAGATGTCGGCATACTTTGGCACATAGCCCAGCCATACAGGTTGTTGGCATCAAGGTATAGCAGGTATGATGTGGGCTCGGCAGGATTGTACTGACCCATCGTTGGGTTGTTGGCCTTGCCGTACCGCTGCGACGCCATTGAGATGCCCCCACGTAGACCGGCTTCGACAAACAGATGCATGTCTACATCCGTGAGCAGCTGCAGTTCAATCTGGGTGAACCGTAGTAGAGCATCCCATGCATATCCTACATAACACCATGCAACACACCAGAACACAAACACGAAAGTCAATACACCGTGCAAAAAGTATAAAAATACACCGACAAGAAAGCACAAGAATACTAACAGAGAACACCATCTAAAGGAGAGAATACATTGGACAACAACAAAGACTGATGAACATACCTGGGAGAGTAAGGTAATGAGCTGGATCCAACCCATACGTCTTGTATGCCGTCTTGCGGAAATGCTCAAAGACATCTGCTAGAAGATAGACATCTGTTTGCAAATAGAGGTCATGATAGGCCTCCATTGTACTGCACTCAAATGTCTGCAAAACAAAAAACAAACAAAACAAAAAACAGCAACGCACACACGCATGCACACATCCATACACACAAGCATCCACATATCCACGGATAGAGAGCAATGAGTACAAAAAAAATGTGTAGGGCACATCACAACAGCATACAAAGTCATAAGTAGAGCACAATAATGCAAAAAGCATGGCATCAGGGAAATTCCGAGGGTCAATACAGAAGGCACAAGCTGCTTACCTGCCATACGTTCTGAGCATGGGCATAGTCGGCATCACTGATACCTTCTCCAGTCAAACTAGACTCAAATGCTGATTTAGGTGGCAGCTGTGTCTCATCAAACCGAGCAAAGGAGTCCATGTACTCGTAGGGGTAGACACCCTTACGCCGGAGAAGGTCATGATGGGCTAATGTACGAGTAAGCTTGAAGGCATCTTCCGGGGTGTTGCTCACCAACGAGTCAAGAGAGGAGTTCAAGAAGGCCATGGAGTCAATGAAGCGGTACTGACGCCACTTGAATGAAATATATTTCTCCATGTTGTTGGCGATGACACTGATCTCACCAACCTTCCTAATCCGCTTACGCTGGTTAGAATCCTCGTACTCCACCTCTTCAACCTCGGTCATACCAATGTGGGCGATGAGGTGGTGGGCATCATACCCTTTCCGGTTGTGAAACACAACCGGAATGATCTGGCGATCTGGGTAGATACTCAGCTGAATATTACACTGGTAGTGTGCAGCACCACGATAGTCGCCTGTGCAGATATTCAGAAAGAGGGGAATACACAAACATAGTAAACATCTACAGTGAAGGTGATACCACAGACAATACAATTCAATACACCGTGATAAAACACAGATGCAAACAGCTACAAAGACATGAAAATGCACTATACACATCATGTGCATATCTACACACAACTGCAAAACAACAAAAATAAACAAAAAAATTATAATACTTACCAGTGAGATGATCATGATCACGAACACGATCTTCTCCAAGTACTTCGTCACATATCCAGCAGTTGACTGCGTTCTGAAACTCAAGCTCCAGTTCTGCTGTCATGCGGATTGGCTTGATATCAGCCAAATCCTCCTGGATACTGCCTTCCAACTCTTTGAGACTGTCGAAAAAGTTGTGAATGGCATTCTCACTGCAGTCGTCAAACTCGCCCCGGACTTCACCGTTGGATCGGATGGCAGCATATCTACAAGAGCATAAAAGAAGAGGGAAAGTAAGAATAAGTGATTTTGAAAAAATGGAATCACACAAAATGCACATACTACAACACGAACACCTAATTTGTGAACAAGACAAGAAGGAATAACAGCAAGCACTGTGCAGGCCCGAGTACAGCAAACATTAGTCAAAAACAACACCAACAACAAAACATACCTGATGCTGCATGGCACGTGACGTGCTGTGCGTACAGTGCTGCTGCCATGCTGTTCCTCCATCGGCTCAATGATGGCCTCCGTATCAGCGTAAATGATATATGGAGCCACCATCCTGTGCTTCAAATTTGTATATTTGAGGATGCTGTCCTTTGCTGTGGGCATGACGACTGGCACGGGCTTCATCACCTGACATCTCTCGCTGTGATGCTGCAGGGAGTCTGCTGTTTTGTGTGCGGAGAGGCATCGCAAGCAGTAGTGTGTTGCCCGCTTGTTCTTATTCTCACATGCACGACTGAAGTTTTTTATCCATGTGAAGTGGTTGTCATGTAGAAGGAGGTTGATCGGAGTCTCATGTCGCTCGCTGAGATAGAGTGGGTACAGATTCCCCTCGTAGCCAAACACATTGATTGCAAGACCATTCTGTAACTCCACTTTGGGTACATCACGGAGCGTTGCAGGGAACATCACACCATCGAACCGCAGCTCATCAACATACTGGGTGTACTTGGATGCCCGCTCAGCATTCTGTTCGACGGGGTGCAGCGCTGACAACAACGCCCACATCAAACACCTGTCATCGTTGTTCTTTACGTTAATGATGGCCTTCTTTTTTTCTAATTTCGGTGGGATATCAGCTGCACCACCTACAGTACACCACAAAAATACAACGAAGGCTTTGCTCAGAGTAACACCACATCACAACTACACCCTCTCGACAATCACGAAAAACTGTGCATCTAGTACAAAACATCTACAACTTTCCACAAGAAATTCGACAGGCTTCGAACAAACACTGCCGGATGAACAGAAACTCACCTCGAAGAGGAGTGTACTTTGCTGTCGACACATCCAGCTGTCTCACTCGAGAAACGGTCCAGTCGGATCCGTTCTGCACCCACTTATCAATAAGACCAGTGATCCTCGCCACCATCGTCTTGACTGCACTATCAATATCCCCTTCGCTGAGGATCCGAGCCGGTCTACTTCTAAAAAACGGGACGGCAGACGTACTACCCGTGGCCGACTCTCGTGTCATCTCCACCCTCAAAACTAAAACCACCTTGAAAGGGTGAGACTGAAGCTCCTCGAGGAGAACCTGTCTGAGCTCGTCATGATGGCTGCTGAAAAAGACGAGAGGATCAGTGCCTGAACCTGGCAAAGAAAACTTTTTCAAAAACCCACGCACGGCACTCGAGGTGGGCTGTCTGGGCTGCCTAGATCGTTTTGCACTTGGCTCCGCCATCGTCACGTCACCTCCAGCACTGCCTACAACATACTGAGGAAATAATCTCCCCGTACAGCGTATATGAGGTCGGCTATCACCCTACAATGACACGTGTACTAGTACACCTTGTGTATACGTCTTTTCCACACGCAGGGCCACTGAAGGTCGCACGCTCCGCGTGCGTATGCGCGCATGCGCAATATGTCATTCACTGCACATCTACGATGTGCAAATCAGGGAATAGTACGTATTTTACTACTCCCTGGTGCGAATACAACGAACTTGCACAAGTGCACGGTCGCCACGGAAAAGAACATGATGACATTTATGGCATGGCAGGGCCAAAGGTCGAACCCTGGGGGAGTCCCGGGGCCAGACCAAGCGCGCCCGACACAGTGTGCCTTATTTAACCCAAAGGTCAAACCCTGGGGGAGTCCCCGAGCCAGACCAAACGAGCCCGACACAGTGTGCCTTATTTGGCCCAAAGGTCAAAGGTCAAAAAGTGCACCAGAACCCGCCCCGCACTTACTACTGTCATTAACACCGAGCGAGTCAAACTTTTGGAATTACCGAAATATGGCTATTTAGAATAAGCTCAAATCTTTTGACTTTTCCTAGTTTCGCTTCCTCTTTCGTCTGCCATAAACCTTTGATTTCTAATTGATGAGGTACCAAAATGGCGAGTACGTATACCTAGAACGGCCAACCAGTGTCATTAATATTTTGACAACTGCATTGAAAAGCCATTATTTCAGCTAGATGGAAACAATATGAACACATATTGAAGGTGTCGGCCATATTGAGTTGCTCGTATGCCAACCAGACAAAAGAAAGGTGCATGGGCAGGAAAAATGCTGAATACAGGACGGAGTATATGATCAACATACAACCGTCGGGCAAGAATCGCGAATTTGGGGCGGGTAAACATTAGTGCACAGATTATGCAAACACTCTTCAACTAATGTCCTTGATAATGCTCATTCCCTTTCATTTTCCTGAAAATTGCCCCAGAGGAGCTATCGTGGTATGACGGCCATGGAAATACTAGAATGGATGTAGCCTATTACCATGCATCAATCTGATGACCAAGAAAGCGAAATTGCCCACTTTATCTTCATTTGATAGATGTTGAAGTGTAGTGACTTGGCTCCGGCGGATTATGCTCGCGAAATCAAGGAACTATGCTTTCATGGATTCTCGCATTATACTCACAAAATCCTCATAATTATTATGCTTTAGCACCCGGGGATATATATGTACATTCACTTTGTTGTACTTATGGAGCCTCAAAGTTCGGGAAATTGTGCCTTTTTTCGTACTTGCAAGTTGCAAGTTGCAAGTGGCCATAAGTACAACAAAATACAATGTACATGAGTGTATCCATACCAAGGTGTCCATGCATGTAGGCTAGTACGGCTTTGACTACAACCTCGGGTGCGAGGCAACCAGCGGCAGCTGCGGATATCCATACCAAGGTGTCCATGCACGTAGGCTAGTACGGCTTTGACTACAACCTCGGGTGCGAGGCAACCAGCGGCAGCTGCGGATATCCATACCAAGGTGTCCATGCATGTAGGCTAGTACGGCTTTGACTACAACCTCGGTCGCGAGGCAACCAGCAGCAGCTGCGGTGTCTTCTACAGCGCCATCTCAGCCACAGTCGCAGGAGGTTCTTGCTGATCTTTAGCGTGCTATGTGTTGTGCTGTGTGTGCGTGTGCGGACGCGCACGCACAATGCCATGTGTTGTGCGGTGTGTGTGCGTGTGGGGTTTGTGCATGTGTGGGCGCGTGTGCGCGCGGACAATGCCATGTGTTGTGCGGCGTGTGTGTGTGGGGGGGTTGTGTATGTGTGTGTGTGTGTGCACGCGCGCGCGCACGCACAATGCCTTGTGTTGTGCGGTGTGTGTGCGTGTGGGGTTTTGTGTGTGTGTGTGTGCGCGCGCGAGGACAATGCCATGTGCTGTGCGGTATGTGTACGTGTGTGTGTTTGTGTGTGTGCGCGCGCATGCGCACAATGCCATGATGAGGGTGAAGGCAGTTTCGACAGTGGATTGGACTGTAAGTCCAACTGTGAATCGGACAGTGAGACTGAAAGCTAAAGCTGGTGGACCGCACTATTGAAGTTTTTGAATTGATTTGAATTTGAATTGTACTTTTCAACTCTGCAGCAAATGACAAAATACACTACTGCGCTATTATTTACAACATCTTCCATATCGCTCGTTTGCTAGGATCAGCTTATGATCGCTATCACTCTGCCGTTTTCCGGTGTTCTTTGCTTGGCTCGTGCTAGCTCTCTTCCGCTGATGTTGTCGAGATAGTGTCCCAATAAATGAAATCCTCCCATACGAAAGATCCATGTATGGGGGTGATTTTGATCAAATTTTACAACAAATCAATCTGTGCCATCTCTAGTCACCATCAGTAGGAAATTGATTGATTGATTTTTATTTCACGGATCCTCCAGAGGCAAATAGATGCCTATCGAAGGGAGTCTCCTAAGTAAGTATGGAAAATGAGAAAGTATGTTCGTAAGGGAGAAGAGGTAGAAGATACATTAGAAGATAGAGTACAGAAGAAGTAAATTCAGTACTTCAGGTAGTACATTGCATGCTAATCATATAAATGAGAATTAGAAAAGCAGCATTGCGGACTACTATAACTGACATATACACAAACCGTATTGAAACTATCGTAGATGTGGTTAGCCTAGACACGAAAGTCAGGAATACCTTTCAAAGAAAACATAGATTGCGAATGATACCGACGAACAGCAATACTAAATTTCGCTGCTGTAGAGAGTGAACGAATATCTTCAGGAAGTTTATTCCAGGCAACACTCAAAGAAAAAAGGGTTGATTTACGAAAGAAGGTGCCAGCTTTAGGAAGAATTATGGATGAAGGGTGACGACTGCTTTGGGAAGAGGGTAGCTGGAAGTGAGACGAAATGAACGCTCGGCAAAGCACAACCACGATCTACAAGTCATCCAAACACAAGAACAAAACC